AAATAATAACGAATAATACAATAATTAAATAATAATAATAATAAATAATAATAATAATTTAATGATACAATAATTAAATTGGCATAATATATTGAGCGATCTTAAAGAAAAGTCTGTATAAATAAAATAGGAAATAAAAATAAAAATAATCAGAGTTAAATGAGGTAAAATCACATACAACAAATTTTTTATTGATAAGAAATTTGTATTTATTTATTTATTGTGATAAGATTATTAGAATACAAGCATCACCATGAAATTTAATAAAAATATACTCATTTGATACGTTTTCACTCAAAATGAAAGAATCTGGCAGAAAAATGATGGTATGCTTCATGAAGTAAATTATTTAAATGTAGAATTAGGCTATGTATTTGAAAATATTATCCGAGTGCTCTCATGTGTATTACTTGTATTTAACACTGGATAATATTAAAATAATACGCGGGGCCACTCGGGTGACGTTTCATTACGCAGCTCTAATAACTATTCAGGCAAAGAAAATTTGTTTTCCTGAATAAACGCTTAAGGCAGATTGTTTCATTTTTCTACTACATTCTCTTATTTCGAATAAAAACGTATTGAATGAGTATATTTTTATCAAGTTTTACGATGATATCCATATTCTAAAGCGACATTCCAAAATGTCCTCTTCGAAGAAACTTTAACTCGAAATACTGCAGTATACGTTACATGCCCTATATATTTTGTATATAATTTTTCTCGGAAAGGATGTTTCGAAATATAGCTTAAGTAAATACCTTTATTATTATTTACATCCTGCTGTTCCATATTTAAATCTTTGCGTAAGAGCGATGTCGCTAAAAATTGGATTAATCTAGAGTCCCTATAAGAGAGTCATGTCAATCTTGTCAAAATTTTCATTGGCTTAAAGTAAAATGGCAGAACCAATCATCGATGCTATTATATCTCCACTTTGAGTATCGTGAACGCGGTGATTTAGATTTTAGAAATTGTAAGAGTAGAATTTACGTTAAATTATATAATATTGACAAGTAGAATTAATGTTAAAATACAAAATATTGATAGAAGTAGATCTGTTTTCTATAACTGAACTAGTTTTATACTTTCGGAACTGAAATAGTGATGATATGAAACAATAATAAAATAACTTTCATTTTACAATACTTTTATTTTACAATAAAAAAATGTCTTGCCATACCGAACGTTTTTCCGAAATTTATCTCCCACTCATTGGAAATAGTTTCTCTCCCCACTCTTAATAATTCTTTTTCCTTGTTTCTGTTTCCTTTCCTTTCCTCTCATAATATAAATAGACTCCAGTTTGGACGGTTTTTGTTATTGTCACAAGTAATTTTTATTATCTTACAAAAATTTTTTTTACATATTTCGGGTTGTACTGAAGAGCTTTTATGCCATAAGATACGTGGTAAGTTGATTTTTCACAACTTCAAATTAATTTTTTTTTTGCGAACTTTTATAGTAATGATTATGTTTAAAAATAAAGGAAAGATTTTTTGTTTTATAATAGAAATTCCGTATCTTTACACGAAGGTTCTCATCGTTTCTTAAGAAAAAAATATAAATAGCAATAGATTGTTTATTAGAAAATTGTAATAGCTTTCTTGACTTTTTTTTCATCATGACTGTTTTTTAAATCATAAGCAAGAAGAAATTATTTTAACTTTTAAGTGCGATCATTGTGATTGTAATGGCAGGTACCTTTTGCCTATCAATTTCTTTATGTAATTTTTAAGTTAACATCCGATCTGCGTTTTAGTTTGTAAGACTTTCAATTTTGTCATCTTTTTATGTACTGATGATGGTCAAATCTTGACCAAAACGTTTACTTATTTATTTGGAATTTTAAATACATAACTTGTTTACATCTATTGTTGTGGCTATATGCTATTTATTATTTATCTTTTGTAATTGTTTTAGCCACTTTCAAATAATTTTAATTATGCAAATTCCTTCCTATTGATTAAATACTATATGAAAATTGTAATTGAATAATTATGTATTATTACGAAAAAATAATATATTGCATGAAAACTGTAATTAAATTGTAAAGTTGTAATTTAGTAATATATGTACACAAATGCATACTTTATTACGAGAATACTTTAATATGACAGTTTATACAATATAGCATCTCCGAAAAAATTTTATTTAATTTTTTAGTAAAACTTAATTTTATTAATCATATTTTATGGGAAGAAGATCCAATCTAACCTGCAATTTTAATTTATTAAAGGCAGCCATATTCCTGGTTGGAAACTGACGCATGCGCACTAAAAATTGGAGACTCATAAAAAGTTCAGTGTCCATACATGTAGTGCATTGCACGAATGTCTGGGCTTCGATTTTAGAAGCCTATGTTTCGTTCTTAGTTATTTTTACGTTCACGACTGATACGACTGGATGTTGCATCAGCGATCATGAATATATCGTAGTTTAGTAAATTGTGTTTTGACAGCCGATCGATGTAACTTGTTTTGATCAGTGAAATTTCTGAAAGATTCCAAAACTTGATTGAAAGAAGTCGGAGATCGAAGCCTTTAATATATCAGATAAGTGTAGTTTTGAAGAAGTATAATTGCTTTTATCCTTGCTAATAAGAAAATATACTTTGTGGTTCGTTTTTCTTATACAGGTAATAAAATATAAGAAACGATAATTAACAACACAGTGTTTGTGATGAGAAGTAGTTTATTGGAGACATGCACAGAAAAATAATCCCAGATGTCTAATCATAAGGTATTTCAGAGCACCATGTTAAGAATGAGATTAGTAGAATTAAATTGATGCTTAGGGGAGTAAATCATAAGTCGACTTAGGTTTTTCTTATTGCTGAATAAAGATTTATATAATTTATACATATTGTCACATGTTTCAGAACAGACATTGGAGATACAAGTTACCATAAAAATATTAAAAACATAAAATGTTTATATTTTTGTTCCAATTGCCTGACAATGTCAATACCTTAATCGCGAAAGTAGAAACAGCAGTATGTCGACATTTTGGAAACAGTCATGCTTCCCAGTATGCAAGCGAGATTTTCAGCAGACCAACATCCGACCATTACGTTCGTACAGGACAACAGTGCTGTTCACAATGTCCACGTGACACGAAATTGGTTCAATGATCCCGAGGAAAAAATAGATTGGCTTTGCAAGTCTCCTGACTTAAACTTCATTGAAAATTTATGGGGAATTATGGTCAGGGAATGGAGATCCGGACAGCAGAACTCGAGATGCATTAATTCAGCATGTAAACAACGTATGGAACAGGCTTCATGATCGACCTGAAATATACCAGTACCTAGCTCAGTCAATGAGGATCAGATTACAATGGGTGATTGACAACAATAGCTATTAATTACTAATTGTTATATATGTTATATATATTAAATATATAATGTGTTATGTGTTATATGTATTATGTTTATTTATGTAAATAAAAATATTAT